GCGAAAACCCCTCTCGCCCATCACACAAACCATGGGAACTCCAGAAACCTCTCGAGAACCGTGCCCCGACCGCATCCTCGACGACATCGGCGGCGCCTTCGGCATGGGGGCTGTCGGCGGCTCCGCCTTCCACTTCCTCAAGGGCGTCTACAACTCCCCCTCCGGCACTCGGCTCATCGGCGGCTCGCAAGCCGTGCGCATGAACGCGCCGCGAGTCGGCGGTAGCTTCGCCGTCTGGGGTGGCCTCTTCTCCGCCTTCGACTGCACCATGGTCTACGTCCGCCAGAAGGAGGACCCCTGGAACTCTATCATCGCCGGCGCCGCCACCGGTGGCTTCCTCCAGATGCGACAGGGCCTCGGCGCCTCGGCTCGATCGGCTGCCTTCGGTGGGGTCCTCCTGGCTCTGATCGAAGGAGCTGGGATCATGCTTAATAAGTTCATGAGCCAGCAGCAGCAGATGCCTATTGTGATTGAAGAGCCGGCGAACGTGGCCGGTTTGCCTGGGCTTCCTCCTATCGGCCGTGCTCCGGGTCAGCCGGGCTCGGTGCCGGCAACGTCGGTTAGCAGCAGCGGGGCTGAGGCTAGTTCAGGAGGGTGGCTTGGAGGGTGGTTCGGGAAGAGCAAGGAGCCTGAGGCTAAGAGTAGCGGAAGCGAGACTAAGATTTTGGAGAGCTTCGATGCCCCGCCCATGCCCAGCTTCGAGTACAAGTGATTGATTGATAGATTTGGTGAGGATCAAGGAAGGATTTTGATTAGAAGAAGGCTAATTAGATTGTATTTAGGAAGGGGGTTGGTATTGAACTGAGGGATTTGGGAAAGTTCAGGTTTTTATTGCAAAGATTTGCATTGCACCTATATATTAATGTTGTGCTCTTTCAATTATGCTTTTCTAAATAACCAATAAGTTGTAGCTGTATTATAATTCTTTTGAAATTGATTGTATGTTATTTTGGGAATTGTTTTATGAATTGCAGATTAAGTTTAGGGTTTAGGGTTTAGTTCAATCTTCCATTAAGTTCTGTGCTTGATCCTTGTTATATGGCCATTGAACCCTTTTATCATGTTTATTTTGATTTTGGAACCAGGTGTAAGGATTTTGAGAAGTTGCCAATGTTGAGGCTGTAAACTTTATATGGAGTAGATATGTGAATAGCATCCAAATTTAAGTAGAGTACATATTGTGAATAGCATAGCTGTGTTTGTGTTATGCTCATTGAGATTCGAGTGATCATCTATGCAGAGAAGAAAACCTTGTCTAGCTTATCGTCACCGAAAGCCCCTTCCTTTAATGAACTAACCAGATTATATTTACTTTTCCTTGGTCCACTTAATTTCCAAGTATCATAATCCATACATGATGCCTGATGCCTGGTGCCTGATGCCTGATGCCTGGTACATGATGCGTGTGCCATATTGATTCTGCCTTTTATGCCCCTCACCTCAATGGGTAACTGATACTCACTAACTTTGCTGCTTATGCCTCTAAACATTGTATTTGCTTATCTAGAAGAAATATTTGCTTGAGTTTATTCTTGTTGGCATTCATATGCTTGCCTTCTGATAAAGCTGTTTAACACTACATATCTTTGAACCAAGGTATAGAAGTTCATATTTTAATTGTTTTCAAATCAGTGTGTGGAACAGGGGTTTGACCCATGTTCCGTAGGTTGAATTTTGTTGAAATACAGATTTCTAGTACCAATCCTCTGAAATCAGTTATTCTAGCTCCAGCAAAATGGTTGCTAAAATATTTAATGAATTTGTTAAAACTAATACTTCTGTTGCAGGGTGGTGCTCCATTGGTTCTTGTTGTGTTTCCAGGTAACCGTTTTAAAGCAGTTTGCAAGTAAATTAACTGCTCTTAATGATAGGTTGATTGGTATCAAAGTAGGTGATGTCTGATAAGGCTTAAGAATTGTGGGTTACCTATATTCCCATCCATTTGGTTTGTAATGCATGTTCATGTAATAGTTGCCTTTCTCCAGCTATGTGAGGGAAGGACTTGTCCTTGGCCAACTCCTGGGAAATCAATTTACTGTAACATTGAGGTAAGCATGTTCCCTCTATCCATGTATGTTCTTGCAAAATACATCTCATTTGGCTCATTTTATGCATCCACATATCTTCTCAGAAGAGTTGCAGATTCTGAAGATATGATTAAAACATCTGCAATTGCCTTCGGAAAGCAAGGATTTATTAACTTTTGGTTTACAAGTACTCTCTCTCTCTCCCCACACCCCCCTGATTATTTGTGTTGTTTGTTGTACTATTTATTGGCATAATGGTGTACTTAAAAGGCTAGATGTTATTGAGATTGTTTATCTTGTTCCTTTTATTGCAATAAGAGGTTTCTTGTTCTTACAATTGCAATGATACTACAAAGCTATTAAAAGACGACAGTTCTGTTGCAAAAGACCAGCTGGTCTTTTTTTACCCAGAAGATTTCTTTTTAAAAAAAGATGGTTTTTCGAATATGCGATGGATTAAAGTTTGCTTGATGGTTTATCAAACTGCATTCTGATTTCAGCGGTTGGCAACTGGTTCTCTGCCAACTTACCTCATTGGAGCTGTAGTACTTAGAGAAGAGTGGAAATATACTTTGAGCGTGATCCTTGATCCAAGAGAAGAGGATATCCTTTTAATGTTTTCATGTGTTGTGACTTGTGATGATACTTTTTCTTTTCTTTATGTACTTGATTACTTCTAAATAAAGTAGTTTATTGCATGCTGATGTAGTGCAGCATTGGTATTTATTTTGTGGAACTTAATCGTTTATTTCAAAAACATCCGATTATTGTGGCAAAAGAATAAACTAATGATATTGAAGGGACCCTGAGGCAGTTGTCCCGACATCTGGTTGCTGAAAGAGCTATAGTAAGTCTGCAACTATGATTACTCTTGGATAACTTCTTCTTTGTAGGGTCTTGCTAATGCTTCTCTAAACTATCCTGAAAGATTAAGTTCTATATATTTAAATCCTTTATTTGTTATTGTAAGTAATCCTTTCCCTGTCTTTGCTGAATTGATGCGGTCTTTTGTCATTTTCTCATGCATCTGGGAACTTTTATGAATTATGATATTTCCTGTTTTGGATTACTTCTTCTTGTGGTTCGTAACCGATCATGAATTTTTTGTTCCTTGTTCTCGTATAGCTGCAAGGTCTGAAGAAATGTCATGGGAACTACTTGCAGGCTTTGAAAGCTATTACTAGAACTTTGAGGACGATTTAAGTGGTTTTCCAGCTGATTGAATTGTTTATTTAACTAACTTCATAACCGGTTTGGTCTGGAGGAGAGAGAGTAAATGGAGGTTATATTAAGTTTGACACTTATGCATGAGTTCTTGTAAAGCATCTCTTTTCCATCTTTGTTCTCACTTTCTCAAATGCATTATATACCTTAATAACCATATGATTTGGGAAAGAGGGAGCGGGGAAGTGTGGTGCAAGTCAATGTGTGTTGTACCTAGTGAACAAAATGGAGTGTATGCAGAATGAACTCTAAGTGATCCATATTCTAACCACAAATAAGTTCAAAAAAATATCCAAGGACATTGTATTCCGACGAGCCAGCACGATTCTCCCTCGATGGTCAGCTCATCAATGCCGACGAGGCCAGCTCGGCTCGAGCCATTAAAGGTGGCTTGGGAGCTGTTTAGCCTCATCCAGAGGTTCCTCTTTGTTGCCATGATAAGTGTTGCCGTTGCAGAGTCAAAGAAAAACAGCCGCATTATGAAGCTAAAGAAATCTGTGGAACTTAGGGTTTGTGATAATTGAACTTTTTGCCACTTGATCTTGTCTCTAGAATTTCAGACTTCCAATTGTAAAGTTTTTATTATATCCCTTCCCTTATTGTGTAAATAGTGTGCACATATGCCAATCATATTTATTTTGACAAGGGAAGGGGAATTGAACTCGGCCAGGTTCAAGGAAGTGAACACACTGCCTTCATTAATTGGCCGTTTGCACAGACTATAATCACTGATTTATTCATATAAACTTTTGATTCCTTTGGTATTATTGTTACGTAAAAACTAAATAAAAACTCATTTTCAAAATGGGTGAATGATGCTGGTAACATGGTGGAATTGTGCCTTTGGAATTTTCATGATTTTGAAGTTGACTCGATTGGCAAGCAGAGCATAAATACCATCCAATATATACTGCTGAGTGCATGGTGAAAGTGATGCACCCGGTTTGCAGTCTCCCTTCGCGGGGAGAGAGAGAGAGAGAGAGAGCGATTTCTTTTTAAAAGACGTGTGGTAATATCTGGGTTGAAACATACCATTCTATAATACTAAACTTTGATCAAGGGGCAAAGTGAGCTACTAGGCAATATAAGATTTGACCATTCTTTAATAAAGGCTCGTTTGGAGTGATTATGGATAGGCCAATAATCACTTGTATGAAGAATCACTTTAAGTAGTTTTAATTGAATTTATGGAGGGTTTAGGTTTATGTATTGCTTTTGCTGTATTTGACTGTTTTCATGTCATTTTTAACCAAATTGTTTTTCACTGGCCATGCACTCTCCATTTCATTTAAGAGATGTAATATCTGTTATCATACAGGGGTATATGCTGCTTGTTTCATGAGGGGTGCGCTCAGGAGCTTGGCAATGAAGATTTCTCTTTGAGGAAACAGGTCTTTTTCATATCATTCAGTTTTAAGATATGAAGAGTAGTGTTTCTTGTCGTTATCTTATGGATCTCTATATTTGCTCCACGGCTATCGTTGTTGTTTGACAATTGTGACTGTGTACTGGTTTGTTGACTGTGACCATCTTTTACATTCTGGATTGCAGTCATTTATTATTTTTTGGGTTTTCTGGCCGCCCAATGCTAAAATAAGAAAGAAAAGAAAAGCTATAATTCCTCATACTGTATAACTTGCAGCAGCAAGAATAATTTTGATGAGGGAGCCCCGTTTCTGTTGCATTGCTTTGATCAGGGATATCTGGTCTAATCATTTTGCAACTACGCTTCCGATACTGCTGAAAGTTTCAAGGATCTAGAGCAAGCCTTGTGCAGTGCCCTTGAAGATGAACCTGAGTTTCGTGAATGGTATGCTTGAGCTTGCAGATTCTTGTACAACAAAATAGGAAAATTGTGGAAGAAGTGAATGATCTGTCTGATAGTGAAGTACATAGTGCCAGACCGATTACAGTAGATAAATTAAGCGTGCTCAAGTCATCTGCTCGCCAGTTACTGACAAGTGCTTTCTTGAATACCACAAAAGATGATGCGGGCTGTTTAAGCGCACTGAGGTTATATGTCTGATAGTCTTCGTCCTGCAAAATGCTTGAATTGGCATGGATTTTAAAATAGTCATGAATTTGCGAGTTTGCTAAATACAGCTCCCATAAGAATCTGTTGGTCCTTTTTTCCGTCCTTCGTTCCTTTTTGCCAACCACGGGAGTCCGCTCTGCTCTGAGGAAACGAAGGGGAAGTTGGCGGATCAACACCAATGCCCCGATCGGATGGTGTCTCTTGACTCGCAGAGAGGACTCCTTCAATTTTTCGAACAAAATTGAAAGTTGAATCAGTTGCCAAAACGTACGGGCCCGATCAAGGCCTTATCTATCAACTTCTTTTAATACTGACTCTTGTTGTTGCGCATGCGTGCCACTATTGAGTATATAACTAGCCCAATAGATCTGGTGTGGATGTGACTGATGCTGATGGAGTTGCGCCTCCTTTCTGGATTTCTTACCAAGCCATTGTGCTCTAGGGGGGGTACTGGCCTAGATAGATTCTTTTCTGTGCCTCAATTAAGAGGACTTCAATATTCTTTCCTTCGTGAATATCGCCCTGACAAGTATGAGCAGTACCTAAACAGACAATAGAGCAAGACCAAGTTTACGGTTAGTAGAAACCCTCGCCTGGGTTTTATTAACCTACTTTAGTATTTGCTCGTTTTTAGCTAGATCAATAGTCAACTCGGGCCCATTGGTGCGATTTCGGGCCCAACTTAATTCCTTGTTCCTTCTTTTATTCTTCCTTTCGGGTCCCTATCCCTTTTCGGGCCCGAATGCTAGTTTTTCTGGATTGTTCGGGGGGTAAAAAGGGCGGGAATTCAATTTTATGTATTAGAATGGTTCGTAATTCATTATTTTAGAGAATCAAGTGAGTTTTATCTATAAAGATTCTTCTGCAACTCATGTTAACTTTGACTTTAAACTAAATAACAAAAGATTCTTTAATTAATCCATCAATTATCCTTGAATCCGAATTACAGAGTAAAGGAAAGAAAACTGGAGATTTCTCAATCTAGCTCAAACGATTACATGCATTGAAACCGAAAGATGTCTTAAAAGAAAAATCATACCATGGAGATGGCAGAGCTACGAGAGATAAGCGCAGGAGTTGTCAACTGGTTATCTAAAGAAAAAGTAGGCAGCATGTTATTTTGAGAGTTTTCAAGTGTTTTTGAGATGTTCCATCTAGTTTTGGAGAGAGAGTACCCTTTTTCTAAAGTAAACCTTCATTATTTATAGAGGTGGATGAACTTGTAATGATAGAAATTGTGACAAGACCTTTGGCTTGTGGCTCAAGGTTAGCTACTCGTTTGCTGGTCTCAACCAGTTCATAGAGGGAGTGATGGAGGACCTCTGGCAAGAACCATTGGTTTCCTTTGTAGAGCTTTCTCGATTTGATTTCTTTGTACTTGAAAACCTGGCTAGCAACTTTGATCTTTTCTAGTTTTGGGGGCTTCGGTACAACTTGTTTTCTTGTTGGAAGAGAAGGAGGTCAAGTCGTCATTAAATGTGATAATCCCCTTCGACCTCCCACGTGGGCTCAGAAAACACGCTTACCAATCTATTTGATCTTGTAGTGCGAGACAAAGGCCTAGCTTTCATGACTTGGGCCTTCTTTATTTTTTTTTATTATGAGAGGCCCAGTTGGGAGAGGGATGATCTTAAGAAAAGACCAACGCTGGTGGGCCTGATTTTATCTTTAAAGATTCTTTTTAAAACTTTGAGACCATTTTTAGCCCGTTTACCAAAATGGGCGGTTATCTAGTGAGAACGCTTATGTGCGAACATTATATGAGAACCAAATCCAGTCATCCAAATTATCTAAACAGCTAAAGAGAAAAAGCAAGCTTATAGTAAAAACGGGTAGGCTGCAGTTCCCCTTAGCCCAAGTGTCAAGTCACGCCTGCTTCGAAAAAACGCGCCTTTCTTGTTCCTGACAGTGGCCAGTCGTGCCTTTCTTGTCAATAAATTTATGAATTTATGAGTTTATCAATCAACCCCAAACAACCAAAATACCAGACATAAATTTGTGTATTTCTCTTGTCGCGGAAACTCCCGGGTGTACTCTGTCTCTTTCACTTCCTCCCTCATCTAATATTTCTCATTTGAACGTCTGAGAAAGTACGTTTCTCTCGAATTCCCTCTCTTTCATTCATATTAAAGTTTGCATGTTATATTGCATTCAGTTAATGTTTGAATAATGTTTAGGATTTTAGGGCATTGATTTTCTGGATAAGAGTAGTCTGTCTCTGTAGTAGTTGCTTTTGCAAAAATATAAATTGGTCGTTTTTTTTTTTTTTTTTTTTTTTTTTTTTTTCTAGTTTCTAGTAATTTGTTGAAGCATGGTAACTAATTTTTGAAGTATTTCTGCGGTTTAAATATTATTTACTTTTTCCAAAAGTTGGGTTGTCTTTTTATCGCAATTTGTTGTGGTAATTTGTTGAAGTGTAGATTCACAGCTGTTGGTTGTTCCTATTTTTGTTCGCATTGTGCTTGCTTGTTGTCTTTTCTAAAAATTCCAGGAACCTTCATGTGTTGGTCATTGTAACCCTGATTTGCCCATCTAGTGGTGTGAGTGTATGGCATCATTTTAGGGATTTAATGGGTTTTGGAAAACAAAGAATAAGCAACATTAGAAGTAGAATGCAGAAGAGAAAATTGAATCTTAACAATGAATATGAGATGATTTGGGATGCAGAAGGATCAATGCATCTTGTAGTAGGTATCAATTCTGTATGTTAATGTTTTGAAAATAGTGTTGGTAGGTATCAGTTTTGTGTGTGAATGTGTTGAAAATAGTGTTTGTAGGTGAAGATTATGCATCTTAATGAGTTGAAAATAGTATATCAGTTGTGTATCGTAATATATTAAAAATAGTGTTAGTAGGTATCCATTATGTATCTGACTGTTTGAAAATAGTGTTTGTAGGTATTAATTATGTATGTTAATGAGTTGAAAATAAGGTATCAGGTTGCATCTTAATATGTTGACAATAGTGTTAGTACGTATCCATTATGTATGTGAATGTGTTGAAAATAGTGTTTGTAGGTATTCATTATGTATCTTAATGTGATGAAGATATGTAGATAATATTGTGAGTAGGTATCACTTTTGTATGTTAATGTGTTCATAATTTTGTGAGCATGTATCACTTCTGTTTCTTAAGCAAAAGGTGTTTGTTGCAGTTAACAAATGGAATCTGGGTTTGAACTTTGTTTGCCGGAGTCAGAGGTCTATGTTGCGCGGGTGAATAATTTGTGTGTGGCGAATACAGTCCTATGTAATTTTGGGGCACATTTCAGTGAGTCGCTTATGAAAAGATTTAGAGAGAACTGTTTTGGGCACCTGTTGGGCCTCCATAAAATTGCATTTAGTGGTCAAATTGTGCATGCTTTGGCACTCCGTCGAGTCGGAGGACTTGGTGTTATGGACATGCTGGGCCTTAGTTATGCAATAGGGTCCAATGTTGCTCAATTCAGTGTAAAGGATTTTTGTTTGATAAGTGGTTTGAAATGTGGAACAGAGCCTGACATAACGTCCGTGGGGGATGCTCATAATCGATTTATGAAAGCGCATTTTACTAACAGGGGTCACATTACTTGCAATGACTTAGAAAATGCATTCCTAAAGTCTGAAAGAAGAAGCGAGGACTTGTTCAAATTGGGACTGCTGTATTTTGTGGAGTTTGTGATAATGGGTAAACCCCAAAATGTGAAGATAAACGAGGAGTACTTACATTTGGTTCATAAAATGGACGAATTCAACAATTATCCGTGGGGATCTATATCTTTTGAGTTTCTGCAAGATTCTCTGTTGTTTGCTGCCAGGAAGAAAGAGAGTGATGAAGAGAATGATGGGAAGGGCAAAAAGGCGGTGCGGAGTTCAGTGAGAAAAGGGAAGAAAAACGTGGAAGATGAGAAGCCTAAAAGAATTAATAGACCTGGATGGAGTATAAAGGGATTGAGCTATGCTGTCCACGTATGATGTAGTTCAAAATTAGTGTTTGTAAAATTTTAGTTCATAATTAAGTACTGACTTTGATAATCTATTTGTTGTAGATTTGGTTGTATGAATTAATTGATGAATTGGGAATTCGCCCCCTTAGATATTGTAAGCGGATCGAGGAACCTGCATTAGTCCCTCGAATTTGTCGGTGGGAATCCACGAATAAAGTGCATGAGTTTAAAAAGCCGAAGAAAGCTGTTTAGTATTGTGTATGACCTGTTAACTCTATGTGTTTGGTAGCCTGTTATACTGTGCCTCTTACGACCAAGTCAATTGGAGATGAGCCAACCGTATTGGAGTTGGGGATCAGATGTTTTTGAATGTGATGCACCCAGTGTAGGTCCACGGGTATGTAAGGACCTTGATGAGTTAAACTTTGTTGTGCAGCAGTTGAGGAATGAGGTTGCAGTATTGCACCATGAGGATGCTGGAGAGGAGAGTGATAAAACTGAGGATGGTGGAGTAGCCGAATCGAGAGAGCAGTGTGTACAAAATGGTAAAGAAGATGTGCAATATACACCCCCGGATATAAATTGGGATGATCCGGGTGTGGTGTGTGTCACCCTTGTTAAATTTCTTACGAATCCTCCTCGAAAGATTGACATGTCCACTGCTGAGGGTGAATGTGGCGAAGATGTTATAGTTGGGGTCCGACAAAAGAGGGGTCGGGGAAAGAGTGAGATTCTTGGCCCTGTGATGAAGAGGCGAAGGGCAGTGGTGAGGGAAACTCCATGGATATATCGGGAGATTCCCAATATTTCGGAGGAAACTCCTTGTGATTCCCTTTTGGAGGTTGCGAAATTCTGCTAGGAATGGGGACAAGAAGAAAAGTAAGTTCCCACTGCCTGTCCTTAGTGAAATGTAAATGGTTTATTATGATTAGTTATTAAGTGAATGGTGAAACAGAATTCATACTAATAATGATTCACAAATATAGTTCACATGTGCGGTTATGTGGAGAAAATGGTATGGAAGGTTCGCATAACTTCTTTGTTCGATTGCTGACCAAGGATGGTTTGTTGGATGACTCGATAAGCATTGATTGATTTGGAATTTTGTCGAAATGCCCATGCTATGTAGTGATTTATTGATTTAATAATGGAAACAACTGTTCTATGTAGAACATAGACACGGCCTTGCTTTTGCTACGGGAGCAGCACGAGAGGTCTGGCAACTGGGTAGGTTCTGACTGGACGATACTGGACACCACTTTTCAGGTCTGTATTATTTCTTAAGAATTGTTTATTTTCAAATTAGGTATCCGTTATGATGCATAACTCATGTGACACTATGCAGAAATGTGCTGCCTTGGATTACAAGCAAATGAAGGCGTATGTGGGAAAGGAGGACAGGCAGCACAGCAAGGGTCTACTGGGAATGGTCAAGGGCGAAGGGCCTAAGTTGGCTAAATCATGGTCGTCTGTGAATCGCGTTTGTTTGCCCTTCAACCTACAAAGGCAGAAGCACTGGATCTTACTTGTTGTTGATTTAAAAGAGTGTGAGATAAGGGCATATGATTCAAAAGTAGATCTATGCAGAACTCAAGCCATCCAACGGGCCGTGCAGCCGGTGGCAAAAATGCTGCCCTGGTTGTTAAAGGAATCTGGATATATTGGCGACGGTCTACTTCTGAAAACTGAGTGGCCAGTTATTCGCGTCATGGATGCACCCCAACAAGTAGGCGAGTGAGTAATATTCCACCTAACCACATTGTCTTATGAAATGGATTTGTTGTACATTGAATCACAGCTTCTTCGCTATGTTTCAGGGGCGACTGTGGGATGTACATCCTTAAATACTGCGAGTTTTTGACCTCGAATTTAGACCTGGCCAATATTTCCCATTACGCCATGCCCTTCTATTGGTTGAAGCTCGTTGTACAGTTGTTGCAGGGATATTGGTAACTGTGAATCATTAGGAGATACTATAATTTACAAAGTTTTTAACTGGGTGGGTGTAGTGTAGTATATGAACTTGCAAAGTTAATTTAACCGGGTGGGCAATTTTTTTGGTAACAGACCTTATATTCACGAGTTACAAAACAAACCTTTGTATAATAATAAAAGGGAAGCTTGAAGAGCTTTCTTCGCATGCTTGAGCGCATCTTTCCCCTTTCTATTTTAGTATGGTTTTGAAAAGGTAGTTTTCTTGTTTTTTAAGGAACAAAGTGTTCTTTATGATCCAACTCCCCCTTTTCACTTAAAATTAAAGAATTATTTTTTGTATTTTGTTCAAATACAAGCTGTATGAAACCCTCAACACATATTGTTGACAGTATGCTGAACCCGAACCCTAAAGGGTGCATGATTCTTTTCAAATGTCGAATAAATAGTAATGTATCTTGTTTAGGGCAAACACGATTGTGAAGTTAAGATGCAGGCATATGAAATGTTGAAGTTTGTCATTGACTAATTGTGCTGAAGGCGTAATTATATTTCTACATTTCCAAACACGTCTTATATGTAGCTGTCCGGATTATGAAATTACAAAACATATACTTAAACCCAAAACATTTCTTCCTTTTTCATCAATTTAATAGCCAAATTCAGAAATGATAGAACTAACAGCAGTGGGAGGATTTTATGAATGGCCTTCAGTATACGGATTACTTCAGCATATGCGTTAAATTCCTTCACATCCACCTGGTTTTGAATGTCAGATTCATTTGGGGTGTTGGCTGCTATCACCCATTCATAGCCACTACACCTTGTAGCTCCCTATTAAAAAAAAAAAAAAAAAACAAAACAAAACACAACATTTTTCTGGGATTACAATGTCATACCATATTCTTTTATTTAGAGCAGTTTCAGTTTGGGATTAGTGTTTATTATATACAGCTTATTCGGTTTTACATACAAGGTTTGGGAAGATTATACTTACATATGTTGTGAAGCACTTCCAATACGGTATGCCCAAATTCCTTCCAGATTTGGAAATTAGCTTCACCATCTCAGCATTGCAGTGCCGACACCTCTTTGTTTCAGTGTTTGATGAAGAAATCGACATCGCTTTGCCCAGAGTTGAAAATGAAGAAAACAGAAGAATTATACCCATCCAAATATTTGGTAAAAACCCCCAAATTATTTTCCTCCGATTCTGAAAAGGAATTGGATTTTATTATTTGGTCGAAACATATATGGAGTTTGAAGTTTGAATTCGCCTTCTTTGGTCCCGACAATCCGTGAGCGGGAAATTCCAAAGTTGAATATTTTTTTATATTTTTAACCCTAATACATGAGCGGGAAAATAAAAAGCATTGCTGTGGGGAATTTTTAATAATTTTTTTACCCTAAACTGTAGCCTTAAAGGCGTTTATCAAATGAAAATATAAGGAAGACAAAAATTAAAAGGAAAAGGGGCGTGTGGAGGCATGGGAATGCGCCGCGTGTTGCTGAGGTCTGCAGCTTCCCACTCCAGCTCCGCCACTTGGCATTCCATGTGTATTTTATTCCTTTCTTTTTTTCTTTTTTCTTTTTTCAGAAAATCGTAAAAAATACAGGAAAATTCAGAAAAAAGGGCGGAAAAATTCCTAACTATGTATCGGGATGAATACTTCGTACTGAAAGTAGAATAACGGATTTTGGTGTGAGGGAAAAATAAAATTAGGGAACAAACCCTAGTGTTGGATGATGCAAATGAAAACACTAGTACACTTTTCAAACCCTATACTCTTATTTGTTCGATCACATTAATTTCGTATGGATATTTATATGATGCAGCCTTTTTCCGGATATTTCATGGAAGGAAATGTCGTCACGAGTGCGGAGGATTTTTTCTGGAATTTTTCCCCCTTCAATTCGATTTTTAAATGAATATTTAGTTGGAAATGAATAAATTTTTTGAAAAGAGGCGTGTGGCGGCATGGGAATGCGCTGCGTGTCGCTGAGGTCTGTTGCTCCCCATTCCGGCTCCACCACTTGGCATTCCGTGTGTATTTTATTCTTTTTTTTTTCTTCAGAATATCGTAAAAAATAAAGGAAAATTCAGAAAAAAGGAACCAGCAATTCCCCATTTTGGTGTCTATCATCTTGAACGAATGATTGCTTCGGGAATAGGAACCAACAATTCCCCATTTCAGAACACATAGTCAAACCATAGGACCCAAAACCATCCAAAACATATGCACGCAAGCTACAAAGGTCTATGGAACACAAACGTCTACAAACCTGTATTGAAATTGGATCTTAAAAGTGCACTGATTACAAAAATAGACCTTCAAACCATAAATAGGACTTAAAACCACAAATGTCTACAACATTACCATAAACAGACCTTGAATTAAAAACATTAAACATAAGGTAAACTTCCTCTGTAAATAAAAACAAACGAAACCCAAAACACACTTTAATACCCATATCATACCATGGATATTTAATTTATTAAATCCAACAGGTCTCCCCATAGAGTTTGCGCTCGAAGCAGTACAGCTCCCTCTTCCATTTGCAGGGTTCACAGCAGTTCCAGGTAGATACCATGTCAGAGTAGTCGCCCTCCCAGTCCCATTGGAATGTGAAATACCACTCCCGATTACCCACACAGTTAACACCCTCACAGTTAACGCGGGTAAAAATAAAATTTCTGTCAGCAGTAAACTTGCAAGAGTTGGACGAGTCACCACGCCGGAAATGGTATACCTCATTAGTCGATTAAAAATGATGCCATGCATGCTTGCATGTCCATTTTCTTCATTTTGCTTAGATGGCACAACCATTCCATCGCATCCTCTTCGCCCTCCGTAGGGTTCACCAACCCTAGCAAGCCAACAATGTAGGAGGATTCCATATTCCCTGCCTTAGCCGCCACTCGGAAGTTGTTGACAGCCTCATCATCTTTGAATATGAAGAATTGAGTTACAGCTTCTCTGTAAATGATTTCTGGATTGTTGTGTTCCTTGCACTTTTGCAAGAACTCAACAATTTTCTCTTGATCAAACCCGTACCATTCAGGATGCCACTGGTACTTCTCTACAGACATGGTTCGCCAAACCTCAAGATCATTCAGCATTTCTTGAAATAACTTGCATGTCCTTGCCATGCTGTACAGATCTTCAGAGGAGTGCTTTGCAACCAAAAGCAGCACCTTAAACCATGCTTCGGCTGGGATGTCCATCTGGGTTGTTGGAGAAGAGAGAGTGCAAAAGGTATGTGGAGGAATAATGAACGGTGTGTCTGGACAAATGAGGAAGAAAGGTATATATTGGAACGAACCATCGTCACCTAAACTATGGATGAAGACAACATTGGGTTTAGATCATGTATTATTGGCTTCGTTTCCCAATTGGTGTGACTGAAAGGACAGTTCACACACCTCGATGATGCAGGTTTTGGCGGTAAATTGGTCTTCTCACGGATCCATGCCTATGTACACCTCGTGCGTGTTCGCATTTATGATACTACTAATCAACGTCAGCAGTCAAAAAATTAAATGTACTTTTTATGATAATGATTATGCAAATATCACATCGCTACTTATGGAGGTGAAATTCGTTGCATGTGAATAATTTAACAGCCAAATATGAAACAAAATATCATATCAACGCACGATTAACAGTACAGAAAATGAAAGCAGTGTTTATGACATCACCAGTTATGAAGGTAATCTGAATTTAACATGAGCAAGTAAAGAATTTCATCTTATAAAAGATGATACTAAATATGAACGCACCATTAACAGTAAAGAAAATGACAACAATGTTTTATGACATCACCAGTTATGAAGGTAATCTGAATTGAACATGAGCAAGTAAACAATTTCATCTTCTGAAATATGATACTAAATATGAACTCATATCACCAGTAAAAAAACAAAAAAAATGCGCTTGTGGTACTTATAATGCAAATATCACATCACAAGTTGTGAAGGTAACTTACATTTGAACATGACCAACTCAACAGTTTCATCTTCGCAAATATGATACTAAATACGAAGGGTAAAGAATATTAAAATATTGTATATGATATAAATAATGCAAATATGACATCACCAGTTCTCAAGGTAACTAAAGTTGCAGCTCCCCACTCGAAGTCAACATTGGCATTTTGGCGGGTAAAATGAAAATGGGGACTGCTCTATAAATACCAATGTAAGAGTATTTTACCTCCCATTGCACCTCCACTTGCTCCAAACAAGCCTAAACTCAGAATGGGTTCCCCTACAAAAATCCCCCCCCATACTTATAACAATACCAGCAAAAAATACAGAACCTTTGTCACAGAGGAATAATAAAACTGAAGATGTTGCTGATGGAGCTGCGAAATCCATAAACTTTTCATCTGAGGACCACGATGATGTAGCTCGAATTGGCAAGATGAGGTATGATGCGTTGATCATGGAAATCAAATGCCTGAAGATACGTCTAAGATGGTATGAAGAAACATTGGGGAAGGAAAAAAAGAAAGCGAAATTCCACCTTCGATGAGTCCAAAGAATGAAAGTGACGGTTTGGCTTGCAAAAGGAAAAGGTGTTTGAAGGTTCAGTACTTCGAATGAGTCTGTGCAGATGAGGGAAGCAGAAGCACGCAAAGGGTTTGACCTATTCCGCGAGTTTGCAAGATGTGTTGTCCCAAGCTATAACTGGGACGGGATTGCCATGGAGTAAACCGTCCCTGGATAAAGTTCATTTTGGGGGTTGTCAGTATTTTGTTCGGAACAAATGTGTGGTTCATTTTGAGTACATTTTTTGGCATTTTGTGTGGGCTCTTAAAGGTGTAAAAATGTGGTTTGAAGTGTTCATAGTTCTTAGGTAATTTATCCAACTATAAGATGTAAAGGACAACCGTAAGCAAATGGGGAAACTATTTTCAGTTTTTTAAGCATACTTCTGTCTACATAAATTGTTGTGCTTTTATGAAGTTTGTTTATATTATTTTCTGATCACATATTTCTTTGTGTTATTTTATAACGCCTAAAAGGCATGGAATAGAAACAATAGAGGTGGATTTGTTGATAATCCAGGTATTTATGTCACATAGTAATCAAGTAATGGAGGGTTGGCTTTATCTCGTTCGTTTAGGGATGACAATGGGTTGAATCGGGGGTGGGTATGCCATTTCCATGGCCCGGCCCATTAGGGAAGAAAAAACCAATTATATAACTACTATGTTGAGAAGAAAAAAGAGCAGTAAGACAACATAATGAATATATAGAATACATACTTAGAAGACAATATAACAATGTTTATACATATGTTGGAAGTTAACTAAATAAATAAGTACTGTGGCTTAAGATTTGTATACAATATAATCTACTGATATAAAATATAAAACTCAGTCGATACTCTGTATGTTCATAGCATATTTATATATGAGGTAAATGCTCTTGTGTGTTTCCATTTTGGGTCATTTGAATAAAATAATGTAGCTATGCAGAAAAATATATTAGTAAATACAGTGCTGAATAAATTTATTTGGAAGTCTGCTTTTGTTTCCCCCTTTTTTAAGTAATTGGGTGAGTTTTGAGGTTTGATCATTTATTTGATCACTTATATGGTAGCTAATTATGTTCGTAACTTGGCATTTTAGAGGTTTGCTTATTGGTTTCAAATATATAATTTTAGCAATGAAATAACAAGAACCATATTGTGTCTGTCAATTGAAAGGAGAAAATATAGAAATATTTTTCCGAACAATTATATATGAAGCAAATGAAACTGATACTTGTGTTGTTATAAATTAGATAATGAACATTAAGGAAGTACACTTCTAATTTTTGCAAACTATAATGTTACGGTTCAAAGGAAGGCAAGTTATCACCATATTCCAAAGATGGAGTGTACACTCTATATTGTCACATCAGATGAAATTAAGTACGAAATTAAGTTTTCATAATCACTTTGGATGATTTATAGCTTCCCCCAGTTTTGTAACTGCACAAGGAGTTTGAAGCAATTTTCCGGGCAATTTTTTGATTTTTCTCATATTTATTACCATTTTTTAAATCATTTTGCATTACAAAATTTAAAACATAAAGAAATAACACACATGGCGATAGCTGACCGCATCCCTCTTAGTAGGTGCACACGTGTACGCCAGTGGCCATTGCCACATCCTTCCTTTCTGTGTGAATTTAAATGAATATTGCTATTTTCTTACCAAATTCATAACTAAATATACAAAAATGGGGAAAAATTTTTGCAAATTGCTACGAACTCATTCAAACTTGATAAATCAAAATTCAAGTGTGTGCTAACATTTTTACTAATCATGTGAGGCTCCTGTGATTAACTAAATCAAATACTCTGATTACTTTAAAAAAAATATATATATATATTAAAGTGATGGGACAAAAGGAGAAAAAACAAAATGGAAAACTTCCTTACATAATATATAAACGTTCTTTTATACCTATGGGCTACTCATGCCTTTAATCTCTCTTTTCTTCTTTCCAGTCGTCTTGTTTGCATACAAACCTTCAGCCGAATCCCCCATTCTGACGATTTTGTCAACATGTCTGCCAGTTCAAGCAGCAAAGTGAATTAGGGGGACTCTGATGGCTCATGGGAATATGCCCCTGATTATCCAAGGTCCCCACCACCACCGCTGCCTCTTCCAACCTCCTCCGCAAACGAGGGGGACTCCGATGATCCCGCTGTGGAAATAAATGATATGAAGAACAAACTGGAACACAACTCTTCCTTGGTCCATTATTGGACTCAAAAGTGTGTCGGAGCTGAGTAGAAGTTGGCTTATTTGACTCGGCAAGTTAACAAAGCCCGTTACCGAAAAGAGAAGCAGAGAATTCGTGCCCAAAGAAGAAAGCACATAGCAGAGGATTTGCATATGATAGAGGAGGATGCTACGTATGAATCTTTGAGCATCCACAAAGGAGGCGACAACCAAGGCCAGGCAATGTCTGTGGCTTTCAACCAAGGTTTTGAGAAATTCCGACGGTTCGCTATAGATGTCCACAAAGATATTGACTGGGATGCCATAACCCCGTCTGCTGCACAGGAAATCATCTCCAGCGGTGCACACCCAATAGAGCAAGGTCACCAACCAGCAAAAGGCAACGATAATGACTGGTGATAGCTAAATCAATCCGTACGCAGTCCCTTAGCAGTTGTTTGTTTTTGTTAATGCCCGATCTGGGTTAGTGTTTAAATGTGTGTGCCCGATCATGCTTACTGTTTTAATGCCTGATCATGCTTACATGTAGCTTATTATTTCGTTTTACACTGCTATCAAACCTAGAGTTCAATCACTAACTTCCGGATTAGAAGCGTTCATTTCGTAATAGTGCTCACAATTTTTTGTTTAATTCATTGTCGGTGGGGAGACCATTTGTTTCAAGATTCTCTACATAGATATTCGTTGGTTGAGACTTTATAGAGACATAGTGATTGTTTCAAGATTCTCTTACTGACACATAGTCATGGTTTCAAGAAAAGATGGATCCGAAACTTCGAGTTACGCATTGAAAGAATGGTGCCATTCACGACCAAAAAATATGTAAATCGGTATCAATAAATGTTAAAACTCCGGGACCATAAATAAAATCAAACTCTTCCAGATAGTTATGTGTTTAATAATAAACCATAGTTCAGTATCAATGGATATGAGGCATTTACCTAAGATTCACTAAAGCTTCCAGATACTTTCAAAAACATGTAAATAAGTATCAATAAGTGCTCAAACTACGGGACCAAACGTGAAATCAAACTCTTGCATAAATGACTCTGTCATAGTAGGTTCACTGTCCTGCGTGCTCTGAGTGGGCTGCAAATTCTAACCAACTGGACCACCAAGTTTTGTGTCGAAAGATGAAGAGCTGCCACATCAGAAAAAAAAATAATAAACATCAACAACATAAATTTCAAAGCACAATATAACACATATTCACTTACGGGCTCGCAAGTTTTGGACAACTCCGTCTATCATGATTAGTCTTCCTACATTCAGTGCACCGACGTTTATGTCGTTGCGCTGCTTTCTCATTTTCTCCTTTAACTCTTTTCGCACGCGCTTTTACTTTCACTCGATGTGGATCTTTGATTCTAAGTTGGGGATAACTAGTTCCGACATCTCCATTAGGTTCTTCGACATGAGCTCTTGATGACACCAACGTTGTAAGCTTCCCACGAATGTCCTCAAAAGATTTTTCCAGCAACTCAAAACCTTCATCACACAACAAAGCCGAATCAATCAACTCACTTGCAACTTTGCAAACTTTCGATCTCTTAACCAAAAGCAAACCATCAACGCAATCGTTAACTTCTTTGTGATTCTTATCATATATTACACCGCTTTTCGCACTTTGAAGCCATCATTTCAATATGTACTTGTCTGGCAAGTGCTCAACTTGCTTCATTCTTAAGAATGCTAGGAAGTGTCGGCACGGAATACCCCAAAATTCAAAACCTTTGCAGCTGCAATAAGCTTTATCGGCATCTTTATCATGCACAAGCTCCTTCATCCGTGTCACCCCCGGATTTACCCGCTCACTCACTTTGTATCTGCAGTGCATCTCATCTTCGTCTACAAGTTCGAACAAGCATAAAAGACTTCTGAAGTCTTCCCTCTCAAATATTTCCAGAATTTCCCGAGTGTAAATATGTCCCATTTGATGTTGCATTGGTGTTTGAAATGGCAGTGGAGGTTTTTCATTGTAATCAACATGATTAGCCATTAACTCCTTGTGTCTTTGTGAAGCAAGAGCTCTCTCAAAACATACAATGAATTCCATCAATGTATTTTTTCGATTAATATATTGTTTGAAAAATGAATGACAGCTTTCGGCCCGTTGACTACTTGACATCCCAGCCAAAAACACATGTTTTACATATGATGGAACCCAATTCTCCCGCATAGCATGAATTGAGCTCAGCCACGCATGGTCTTGCAGCCCATTGTTTGTGATGATTTCCTCCCATTTCGCATCAAATTCTTCTTTCTTGTCCATACCCCATATGCATTTGTTCATTTCCGAAAAACATTCTTCAATGCCGGGTTTCTCTGTATTCTTATTCAAGATATGCCATATGCAATATCTATGGATTGTTGTCAGGAGAGTTACAACAATTTCCTTTGACATGGCTGCATCTTGATCAATCATGATCATTTTGGGTGGCTCACCTGGCATGGTTTTCTTGAATTCCTCTAACAATCATACAAATGAATCTGTGGTTTCACTAGTTAGGAATGCACGACCAAACAACACTGTCTGCTGATGGTTATTAACGCCTAACAAAGGCGCAAAGACCATCCCATAGCGGTTCGTGTTGAACGTCGTATCAAATACCACCTCATCTCCAAAAAACCCATAAGCTCGTCTTGACCTTGCATCTGACTAGAAAACATTACCCATCCTTCCTTTCGAATCTAGCTCCATCTTGAAATAAAAGGGTTCATTCTTTTCTTGCATAGCCATAAAATGCTCCTTAAGCAGCTATGCATCATGGCCAATCACCTCTCCACGCACGTCCCTTAGATAATTATAGACATCTATCTTAACAAACCCAACATTTTCCAATCCCCCTACTTGCACCTCAAGAAGGCTTAACTGTTTATGTACCGGAATATTAACTTTGCTCGTATCTGCACTATAGGCCTTTATAGACTCTGTTAAGTTACGGTGAGATCTCAATAGATGGACTTTATCAACTGTGGTCATGTTATGGTTGTGTACCTCATTGAATCCTACAACAATGTACTTATTCTTGTCTTTCATCTCCAATATTGCAAGTTTAGCCTTGCAACCAGTTCGAGTACAACCTCGCCGTCTTCTCTTATGACTAACAGTGCTTGTCAATGCATACCCCTATTTAAAACATACATATTCCTTCCTTGTTACCTCTTCTGTCATTGTGCACATCCTCATTGTAGAACACCGAATGCCGAATCCGGCTTCCACAGCATACATATTATAGAAATTGAACACATCGTCGCAGCAATCAAATTCAAGTCCCAATTTTGGTTTCAACTCTGACCTTACTTTCGGTGTCACCTGTCCTTCACACTCCATTGCACAGTTCTTGCAATTTAACCCTGAATTCACCACTATCATACCAACATTGGCTCATGCTTTCAAAGAGCTTTAAAATATATATATTAACTAACATATGATATGAAAATGATTCCCTGGTGAAATATTAAAGACTTACATACAAACTAATGCAACTCATGCTTATGCCCAATAATAAACTTGACAAATACAGTGTAAAGAGCTTCAAAAGATATATATATTAACTAACATATGATATGAAAATGACTCTCTGGTGAAATATTCAAGACCAACATACAAAATTATGTAACTGATGCTTATGCCCAATAATAAACTTGACAAATACAGTATAAAGATCTTTAAAATATATATGTTAACTAACATGTGATACGAAAATGATTCTTTGATGAAATATTAAAGACCTGCATACAAACTAATGTAACTCATGCTTATGTCCAATAATAAACTTGACAAATACAGTATATCACTTACCTCGTGAGTCATTTCCAACTTCAAAATTTCTACAAATATGACAATGTCAGCCTTTTAGATTTGTACGTCAACCCCAAACACTTTTCTTCTTCCTCAACCCCTATTTCGACCTTGATCAAGGATTTCAAAACCAAGAGAACAGCAAAATGGTCGCAGTCACTAGTTTCCAACTCAAGACGTTGGTCAAGGATTGACGAATGTGCCAACCAGAAAGACCGAACCACAAAGATGATAATATAAAATACACGAACACTTTCTTTCGCCTGAATGAGAAACCCAAAAAAAATGAGGGCTAATACTTCTGTGTTCTTCCTGGAATTGAATAAGGAATAACAGGGGCTCTCTCTTTTCAGTGTTATTGGTCTTGCTCAATCAAAGCTGATAAAAAAATTGGCCACCTTGAACAAAATGAACACCTGGATTGGAGGAGACGTCTGTTTTGGAGGGGACGTCTGTTTCCAACTCGACGTTTTGGCGAGAGGAGAGAGAAGAGGGTGTCGTTCTAATACAACACTTACACTTACAATTGCTTTTGATGCAGCCGTTAGATTAGATCCAATGGTGTTCTCACGTAACGTTCGCACATAAGCGTTCTCACCTGATCCAAACCGTACCAAAATTGGGTACAAACAGAATCATGCATATCATTGTTAAAACCGAAAAGACACAATCTTGTATTCGAGAAAGAGAGGCGGTGAGGAGTTGTCCATTTATCACAAGTACTTGGTGTAAAGGTACACGGTAGTGGACATTTTAAACAACTTCAACATAATTGTTTTTGTCCCCTTTGCTTCCCCCAACATTATTGTCTTTTTTCTTTTTTCACTCTTGTTCAATTCCTACGTAGGCAACCCATTAATATCCCAAAAGAGGAAAAAATGGAAAAGAGTGTTTGTGGTGAGATTCGCACAAAATCTATCCATTGATATGTTGACGATCAATGAAGAAAAGAAAGGAAATGAAAGAATTGTAGCAGTGCCAACGAAGGAGGGATTGTTAAATGCTTGAGGCCATTGCTATAGGAAAAGCCTCGGAATCTAAGCCATTCAAAATGCTATATATGCTTGAGATTGCGAGAGTAATGGCCTTGTGAAAGAGGAGGTTAGGCTTGCGGGTTCATATACTAGAAACTCCCTCTCTTTGATTACCGCTTGTATTAAAAAATATAATTAGCTTTTATTTATTTATTTTACTTTTCATCAAAGCATAATTTCATTAGATAAACTTCACTAATACAGTTTAAACATCAACATCATATTTAAATCGTCAAACTCCAAAAGATTAACAAAATTAAATCGAACAAAAATCGCACAAACAACTACATAGCTCACATCACTACAATTAAACATGATTTCAAGCAGGCCCAGAAAACCCAAAATAACAAAAATCATAAGGCCAAACCCAAAATTTGGGTTTTTAGCCTGAAAAGCTTCTCCAACTATGTACACGAACAGGCCAAAAATGCAGTCTGGTCAAAAACCTAGGCCCTATTCCGCCTTGTCTATTGCCTGGATCAAAAATTGGTGGAGCCCACAAGCCTCATGCGCAGACATCATTCCAGCCCATTGTATGGTGGACCCCATGCTCATGTGATAACACCTTTCAATGCTTATATTAAACTAATGCCTGGGATTTAATATAAGAGATATTTAGTTATATACTCATTCTTAGCACTAATACTATAGATAAACCCTAAACCATTTAATTTATATTAAAAAAAAAGAACCCAAAAAATGATAACTGACCCTATTGAATTTAATTTTGATTATTAAATTACTTTGATGCCCTATTGAATGTTTTGGGCTTTTTTTTATAAGGTTTTGGGGTTGGGTTTGTTTTAAGAAATCAATGGCAATTTTGTAATTTAAAAGAAGTTAAAAGCCTTTTTGTTATGTTGTAAATGGGCTTTGGGTGTGTTTCTAAAGTCCATTTCATATATGATTTTTTTAATAATTTGAGCTCCTATATTGGGTATAATAGTGAATCCCACTTAGTATAACTAGATCCAACACCTATATTAATTTGACATGCTATTTTGTTTTTTTTAATTGTTACAAACGCCTATATTAATTTAATGACTGGGATTTAATGTAACTAGATCCAACGGTTCAAATTTAAATACAGCGGTAAAAATATTATTATTAATTTAAATACAGAAGAAGTATATTATGTTTTAGAATTTAGATTTTTTTAAGGTTAAAATATTTAGAAAATTATATTACGAATGTTGAAAAAAAAATATAATGTCAAGAAAAATTAACGACCAAAAAAAAATAGAGGTTAATCATTCTTAAACAATTTAACAAAATTTTGCGTCTTCAGGGTTGGAGAAAAAAATTGTTTGAGTCTGGGCAATACATGAAGAATTGTATTTTGAAAGGGTGAAATTTAGGTTTAGCCTCATTTGGGTTGTAGATGGCCTAAAACAACTCGTAAGTCTAAATGAACACTACCACTACGTGAAGAAGCGCTACCATCAAACTGACCTCATCTAGACTTGAAACAAATGCAAAAATGTGGCAAATATGGGGAAAACATGGCTTCCATCGATCCAATTGTTAGCGAACAAATGCGAAAATCGAACAATCATAGCAAAAAAACAATTGGATAGTGTTTGGGTGTGGTCTAAAATTTAGTCTGAGGTCAAGGTGGAACCCAACTCCAAGTAGAGGCGGAACCCAATTCTAAGAGGCCAAGACAAGAAAAATCTGAAATGGTCTCACTACCCGGATGCCTTTTTACAAAGGTCAAGGTGGTTAGGATGTGATTTTGGATGAAGGTGTGTGAGAGCTGGTCGGGCAAGCAGACTTTGTTGGTTTTCGAGATGGAGGTGTGGCTAGGTTTGCTGTTGTGAGGATGGATGGTTGGGTCTTCAAGTTGCAAAGGAATATTGGGTGTGCTGGCGTGATTTTGTGGCTGAAGTTTGTTCACTATTTAGCTTTTATATATATATATATATATATATATATATATATATCAAGTGTTAAAACACTTGCACAAAACAAACTTTTCATATATATACATGTATATGTATATATAAGATGACCTTACGGTTTGCTTAGTTAAAATTTCCTGAAGGCCAACTTGGCCTTCACATGTTGATTTGGCCAACTCAATGGCCTTATATATATATATATATATATATATATATATATATATCTCATTCCATATTTTCTCATAATTTTCACAATCATTTTGTGAATTGAGGGATGAAAATGCAAATCTAAGTTGAGGGACCATTGGTCCTAAAAAGCCTTAATTTGTTTATATTTAAATACTTAATGTCTTATTATTTTCTCACAAAAATTTCAAAGTTTCTCTTGTTCATCCATTAAAATAAATAAATAAACTAAACTTAATTATAAATGAAATTGGGTGTCTGTATCAAAAACCAACAATTAGTTAGCAAATTCTATAAGTAACAAAGTTTGTCAGTGGACATTATATGTAATCTCAATCACACAAGCTCACCGTGTGGTTTTATAAATTTCTTTTGTTAAACTAGTAGATAATTGATTAAATAAACATGTCTCGAAATTTCATATTTTAAAACTATTTTCATTATTTTTATTCAATTTCTACCGATATTGATATTGTTATCAAAATTTCCTTGTTTTGGGACTCTCATGTCATGCCCCAACCCACGGATTTACGTAACCTTGGGTTAAGACGTGATTCACACATTAATTATAGAATTTAATAAAAACTATAACTAAAATGTGAAGAAACATTTAAATAAATAAAATAAATATTTCACATAGAATATTCAGCGGAAACGACAACATTTGAAGTCTTAAAAATTTTACATTATTTTACAAGTTAGAACTACTCAAGAGTTCACTAAAAGAGTAGCTCATTATTCATCCGCAAGCTATGTACACAATACACTCTATAGATATGCCAAAATCATCACAAGCTCTAGATTTCAGGTTCAGTACCTGCAAAATCTATTAGAGGGTGAGCGAAACCACAGCTCAGTAGGGACATAAACCTTTTCACGGTAAATTGATATAATTAAATTAAGTAACATATAATCACACAGCCAAATATCACATTATTAATAACAATGCATGAATGCTCTTCATCTAATCTTGTTAATTCATATAACTGGACAAGCAGACCTGCACGTCCCATACCATGCTTATATCACTTGGTCCCGAATGCCCATTTATATGACTAACACCCATTTCAATCATCCCATAATTCCCCTTTTGTTAGCCATATTGTCTAACTTCCTGTCGCCAGTCCCGAATCACCCAAAAAACCATGTGCACTATGGGATCCCTGAGACTTGATACCTGCCAAGAGTTAGACTCAACTACACAAAAGATTATTTTCATTACCCTCTTTTCCACCATTATTTTCTCAACCCCAGAATTCTAGCCAAATTCCATGACATGATATAATTATGCCCTTCACAACAATGTAGACATTTAAAACATCACCAATGCATATATATAATTATGCTCACATTGTTCAAATAGTTAAGAGTACGTAAACACCCAATACAAGGAAAGTAAATCAAACAGTACTACGCATAATATAATGCCCACGGAATTTAATTAAATCAATCTCTGTAAAAGGCCCCCTAAGAAACCCCTACCTTGATTCCAATATTTTTACAACGTAGATAACTCTACAGTCCAACACCTCGAGTTCCTTTAATGACTTTCTTGTTCTACACTTTCTAATATTTTTCCTCTTCTTTCTTCTCGCTATCACTTTCTATCATGCACTACCATGCATGTTGTAAAAACAAATTAAGGAAATGGTTATATTTATAGTAGCAGAAGGCGGCAACTGATGGTCTTTTGATTGGTGGAATATAGGTTTGGTGATATGTTTGACTCAAAGATTATCCAACTTTCTCCTAATGCCAGCAGCTCATGCTTTAAACAAAAGCTTAGTCATCTTAGGTAGATACTTGTGAAGAAACTAGGGTGGTGCATATGGTTAAGTTTTGATGTAAATATCACCTTAAGTGATAAGGCTTTGTATGTGGCATCCCTTTACAAATCCAATTATATATCAAACGAATGAGTATTTTTATAATAGTATTATTCTAATAATTATCATGAAAGTAACAACTATGTGGCCAGATAACTATATATATATTATTATTATAACCAATATAAATGTATAATCAAATAAACAAAATTATAACTTATAAACCTATATAGATAGCCAAACATTTGATTTCCTAAATTATTAATATATATATATATATATGTGTGTGTGTGTGTGTGTGTGTGTATGATTTTAAAATACAGGACTTCACATCTCGATATTTTTGAAACCACCGATATTTAATACATTAGTCAAAACAAAGGCAGACATATGTGGTATTTTTATGCGGGATGCGGGATTCTTCATCTAGTTAATCCTTGCATTATCTTACCTTACATCTGCATAAACATTCAACATCCACAATGCACATCATCCCATAAGACTAATTAGTAGCAGTTAAACCATTTACTTCTAAAGTAGTAAGGCCCCGTTTGATTCACCGAAAGAATTTGATGGGAATTTCAAATGTCATTTCCCTGGGAAATGGAAGATTCCTTTTCCACATTTTGTAATGTTGGGAA